AGAACCAGGACCAGGAAGAGATCTGCATCAGAACCAGGACCAGGGAGAGATCTGCATCAGAACCACGATGAAACCTCCATCAGAACCAGGACCATGAAGAGATCTGCATCAGAACCCGGACTAGGAAGAGCTCTCCATCAGAACCAGGACTAAGAAGAGATCTGCATCAGAACCCGGACTAGGAAGAGATCTGCACCAGAACCAGGACCAGAGCCGGCTCAGCTCCTTCCACCTGTTCCAGACAGAACAGGGCGGCCTGTTCTCTCTGGGGTTTATCAGCATTTTCCTGACGGGCAGCCGGGCCAAAAGACCTCTGTTAGCTACTTTCTGTCTTTATCTGGGACGTCAGGACTCTGATAGCTGACGGAAACGCCTCCCTCGCTGCGTTTTAATGATGAACAAAGCGCTTTTATCCAGGACTCAGCGTCCCTGTACAGGCCAGGCTTACCCACAGGCACAGTAGAACCGCTACTTAGGAATTTAATTCGTTTAGGGACCTACATCGTATGTTAAAATATTTGTATGTTGGTTCAAATATTCCCATCAGTAATTCCTATAATTTGTTCCACAGCCCCAAAACCTACGATAACTCCTTAAAATATACTACAGATAATTACACACAGCAATAAAACAAATGCATTATATAAGAGAGATGTAAAAAGAAGTAAATTGTAAAGAAATAACCAATAAAAAGGTTTTTTTTATCGCCACTTATTGGTGAATGTAGGAACTTTAAACTAACTTAGCTTATTTATATTTATTACATTTTTATATTCAATTTGATTTCTTTCTATGACTTCGGGTGTCAAGTCGAATATTTGATGAAATTTAATTTTGGATGTTGGAAAGTTTGTATGTTTAGGCATCCTGAGTAGAGGTTCTGCTGTAGTTTTTTTTTTTTTTTTTTTTTGGGTAGTCAGACATCAAAATAACCTGCTCTGAAATTAAAGACCGGCTTTAAAATAATGAACTTTTCCACTGAGGTAGTATCTGATGCGTCTTTGAAATAGTTTACAATACTTTTAAAACACTGATTCTGTCATGGAAAAGTAAAACAATTATAATTTGAACTCTCTTTAGAAAACTAGCTGCTTTGCATCCATTTTAAGGGGTCCCAGTGTGGCTCTAGTTCAGAAAATAGTGCTTTTATTTGTTTTGAACTGACCTGTGAAGCTTTCTCTGTTGTGGGGAGAAAACAAAATGAGTTTTTTTTTACCGGCCTTTAGCTGGTGGTCACCACCCTCCCACACAGTTTGAGACCCAGAAGCTGACATCATGTATCCCCACACGTGCCGCGGAGCCTTATCGGCATGGAAACGTACAGCTTGAGGGGGCGTGCTCACCCCTGGCCAATCACAGGGCCCCAGTGAGCGAGCGCCCTGGATAGAAAGGCTGGGAGGAGGGTTGGGGGTGTGTGTGTGTGTGGGGGGGGGGGGGGTTGGGGTAAGATTGCTTCCAGATGTAGAAAGCAGCTGTGAGCACGTGAGGGAGACAAAACGTGGCCCAGACACGGCCCGGTTAGCTGGGGGCCGTAAATCAGCGAGGCCCCATGTTTGGCCTCCCGACTAGACGGAGTCCAGCAGCCGGCCGGAGGGGGGGGGGGGGGGGGGGTGCTCACTCTGTATCCCACGGGTTTGGTTTGTTTTTAGATTCATTTTGGTGATATGATCCCAGCTAACCAGCTCAAATGGGATTCAACTGCGTTTCATTTAATAGTAAATAATTTATTTAATACAACTATTTTTTTAATTAAGAAATTTAAATAAATAAATTAATTTAATAAATAAATGTTTTTAATAAATACATTATTAAATAAATAAATGTAATAAATAAGTAAATACAATCAAATTAATTAATTAATTTAGTTAAATAAATAAATTCTCTCTAGAAACAAAGACTGATTTATACTTTTTCTGAATTATCTACTTATTCTACTCATAAGGTACTTGAGATTAATATGTATTTATACAAAAAAAAATGTATTATTTCTAATAATGCATGAAATGACAGAGAACAGCTGGATTTTTAGGAGGATATTTAACTCCAGAGGCACACAAACTCCTAAAAAAAAAAAAGTTTAATTTAGTTTGATTTTCCCGCTCAAACGAGGTTGTGGCCTGTCCTCCTCAGGGTCCATCTCCTGGGTGACGGCCACGCCGGCCGACGTGGTGAAGAGCCGGATGCAGGCCGACGCCCAGCTGCAGAGGAAGTACCGGGGAGTGCTCCACTGCATCGAGGAGAGCTACCGGACGGAGGGGGCACAGGTGAGCCCGGGACCCCCGGGACCGCCGGGAGCCTCCGGCCGGCCAGATCTGCCCATCTGGCTTTGGCATTCTTATGTCCTCTCACACTCCTCTTGTCCCAAAAGGCCCAAAGAGAGTCTGTAAGGCAGGTCTACGAGCAGCTAAAGTCCGTGCTTTAGTTGGAAACCTGAGTATAAACCAGAGGAGATCAAGAGTAGAGTAGAGCTAGAGACTTTAACCCAAAAGTATAGTTCTGAAAGAAATCATACAATCAATAAATTACATAGATCATGTGATAGCATACAGTGCTAAAGGGAGTAATTATAGCCAAAGTCTTACATCTTCTAATGGAATTTGGGAGCTGGGCTCTCACTCTTGTTAGCCCGATTCTTTTAGCTGGAAGCCTGAGAAAAAACCAGAGCAGATCAAGAGTATAAAATGAATTTTATTAAGTCACAGGTAATTCAGCTCCAACAGACAAAAATCTCTGTCTGGGTCTCAGTGGGCAAAGAGCTCTGAGATCTGGGTGTGATGGCCATTAGCTCCTGGGTTCGTCCACCTCCTCAAAGGAGGACTGGACACAACTAAGCACATTTCTACACAGCGTTTTAAAAAATGTTTACTGTCCAGAGGATTAAGTCCAGGCTGTTGCATAAAAGGTTGCAAAATTAGCTCAAACTACTGGGATTTCTGATCAATGATTTTATGGGAAAACGGCTAAACCTAACGATCACTTACTGAGAACGTGAACCGATGGCTGCATGTGACCTGATTCTTATCAATCTGTGAGTTCGGTTATTACAGGACAGTTTCTCCCAGTTAGATAACCTGTTGTGACCTGTATGCCTCTACTGTAAGGGCTCTCATTTGAATTAAAGAGAGGAGAAAAACTATAGCAGAAAACAATACAATAGCTAGAAGTTTATGAATAAACTCAGACATAATATTTCACGTAAACATGTTTATCCATCATATGTGTGAAAAGGAATCAAGCACCTAGCTGCTTCTGAATGATTAAATGCTAAACCTACAATTGCTGCCAAGAGTAACTTGTTCCATATTTTAACTTAGACATTATTCTGTGGTGTTTGCATTGAGATGTGAGTTTTATGGCTGCAACATGAAAGTGAACTCAGTAGGTGAAAGAAACAGTAGAAGAAGCTAACTAGCAGCTAACCGGTTTGCCTTTAGCATCTCAGCTAGCAGAGCTGTTGAGGGTTTAGTGGCTTTTAAAACTCATACCCATCACTTCTCCATCTTAAAATGATTAGTGGTTAAAATTTATCTTAAATATTAGGCTTGGCGTGCTAACAGAATGGTTAGCTTTAGCATGCTAAAACTAACCACGGCAGCTTTAGACCAGCATTGCTTTAAATGACCAGAAATCCATGGTGGATAAAAATTAAACTGTAACCTGAACTGAGAGTATTTAGCTACCATCAGGGATCATCTCCTTAACAGGGTGAAAGTATTTTTTAAATGTGAGACGATGTTTGCACGGTTCATTTTTCAACAAATTGTGTAAGTGTGAGCTCTGTATGATAGCCAGTGAATGCACCCCCCACTGACTCAATCTGCCAGTAAGACCACAACAAAATGTATAATGGTCATTAAAATGAAAGACTTTAGGACTCAGGACACTTTAATCATTGCAAACAATTTAACCGGCAGCTTTTCTATTTGCAGGTCTTCTTCAGGGGGGCCTCAGTAAACGCCATCCGGGGCTTCCCCATGAGCTCCACCATGTTCCTGACCTACGAGCTCTCTCTGCAGTTCTTCAGGAGCTTTTAGGACCGCGGTCCAAAAAGGAAACACACTCGGTTTCTTTGGTAAATGGGAATGCATGGGGGTGGAGGGGGGGGCGTTAGTTTCTGTCTGTGAGAGAGGAGACGTCTGGGGCATTTTTATTCAGAGCTAAATGCTGCCAGCAGCAGGAACAATTCAACTTAAGCTAACCCAGAACCCAGAAGGAGGGGGGGGGGCTCAGGTTTGGAAACTAAACTCGGTCCAGGGAAGTTTCTAGAAGTTTTGCCTTTGTGGGGTTGGCGGTAAACTGCTCTGGGGGGGGGTTGTTTGGAGCTTCTCAAAAAGAATCAGAGCGGCTTTAGTGGTGAGAATAAAGCAGGAGGTGGAGGACTGAGGTGTGGACATTTACGATGCAGTTTTACCAAAGAACCGAGTGTGTTCCTTTTTAAAGGATGTCAATCCGGGATCCCCGTGATTCCCAAAAGACGACAAAACTGCCGAAAGAAAGCGTCCCCATTGAGAGCGGCTGTCAGGATTCCAAGAACAAAGACGCCGAAAAGGAGCCCAACTGTCCGCCGGAGGACAGGGGGGCGCTATTAACTCTGAAACCAAGTCGTTTAGGTCACGTTTCCTTTTGATTTTCAAATCAACAAACCAATGACTTCAGCCACTCTCTGACCTTTTAACTTATTTCTTCTTCTTAAAAAGCAACCGCACTTTTTAACAGCACAACGAAGTAAACATGAAGCTTTTCTGAAGGATGGGAGATTTTTCCGAAATACGAGTCTTAAATCGAACGTTTTTTTTTCTTAATTACAATCGTTTCCATGACGCTGCCTTTCTCCGTCGTGCTTTTAGGATGCTTTTAAACCTGTTAGAGGATTTAAATACATGTTTCGTACTTAAAGTACCGTGCAGCGTTTTAGGTGAGAATGACTCAGCCGTTCCACAACGCTGCACACGTGTTTCTTATATTAAGAAAAAGGACATTTTACTTGAGTTCATCTCGACTTCCTCCTGACTTTATCAGCCCACCGTGTGATTGTTACTGCCGCACAAATGGGAAACCGACGGGTTACTTGAGTTTTAGAGGCTAACGGTGCACGAGTTTCACTCTAAAATCAGGAAATAATTTAGCTTAGCTAAAAAAAATCACTTAACAAAGAGCTGGATCAAAACTTTAAGGCACTAACTGAACACTTAGGTCACAGTATGGAGGATGATTATTGTATTTCTTTTGTATTTTAAATGGTGTTTTCCTGATGTGTACATTTGTAAATATGTTAACAAGCATTCAGAGGTGTGTTATTGTACATGAATGAATAAGTGAATAAAGCCCTCACACACGTGCGCGGCCCTCTTCATTGAATCGCCTCTTCTTGGAAGTCATGTGACGGCCGGTCATGTGTTGATAACGGCGTGGAGCCAGATAAACAGGAGGGTGTGATAGGCCGGCGGGGGGGGGGGGGGAGGCTTTGACCCTCCACACACACACACACACACACCCTGCCTGCCTGCTGCCCGCTGATTAAAGCCAGGGGTCAGGGGACCAGGTGTGTCTGTTTGCCTTCACCTGGGCGGCCCTGCAGTTTCCCGCTGTGTCCACTAGAGGTCAGCATTCACAGACTGAATAAGGAAGAGGCAAACTTCCGCTTCTATTTTTGGCGCTTTAACGCCCCCTTGTGGACAAAAGTCGACTACCTCTGATTGTGATTTGTTACTAACTCCACATTTAGAGTCCAGTCATCTTAAAACTGAATGAATTCTGCTTTAGTCAATAGGAAATTATGTTCAGATTGAAGAATTTTACATCAGCTTCTATTGTTCCAACCTGTGAGACTTTGGCTTGTTTCTTTAGATTGTTCCAGAAACTTGTGAAACTGAAAACTCTGGTTTGGATTGATAAGATCTAGATACATTTTTGGAATGTAGAAAACATCAGACCGCTACGTAACGTTTGTTCCTTAAATGAGCAGCAGAACTGTATGTTTCTGTGATGGTTCACTCTCCAGTTTGTAGAAGCATGAAAATAGTGTTATTGTTACCAATAAATTATTAAAGATAATATCAAATTGATTTATTTAATTAACATTTAATGTAATATATACACAATAAATATATTTAAATATACTAATTCACAAAAAAGGTTGAAAAAATACAAAGTAACATTATTGTTTATGATCCAGATGTCCAATTCGTCTTATTTCCTGTAGTTCCTGAACAGAAATGGCTTATTTCTCCAATTATCCTCCAGAGGACGACGTTACACAGAGAACACCTTCCACTCTCACATATTTCCATGTAGATTCTGATCCTTCTGACACCTCTGGGCTGTTTTTTGTGGGGAAAAAAGGCCATGCCAGTGGTTTTTGTGTTCAGCCAGAGAAGGATGTTGCGTTTAGGGAACTGTGAAGCAGGCTGATTTCACACTTTTGGTCAGAGAAGAAAACTATGAATGTACCACTGAGACTTGTCAGTTATATCTTTTTTTTCTGAGGGATATTTCCAATAGACGGTGAAGCTGTTCCGCGACTGAAACTCGTCAGATAGAAGCCCTGAGGTCAACCGAGAAAGTGGAAATGACCACAACACACTGTCTTTGCTCCTCCTGATCCCACAGAAAGGTTTTCTCGCCACTAACTGGTTGATCTGAGGGGGACATTCTCTTTTCGTGGAAATCAGAATCAGAAATACTTTAATAATCCCAAAGTGAAACTGTTTTTGTTACCAACTCCAGATATACAATAGCATAGACATATATACATATCTATACATATACACATCTATATTTATACAACATTTCACACGAAATATAGATTAATATATACATATGTAACTATTCGTGATTTCATAAAAAAAAAAAACACAATTCGGTTGCTTAATGTTTCTGCTTCCGGATTCGGTGACGTCATCTTCGCCCACTGTCACAAGAAAAACAAAAGGAAGACGCAACAGATTAACACGGTTTGCTTTCTCAGCCCAAAGGTAAGTTTTTTCATTTGGATCCATTCAATAAAGAGACTAGTACCATTTTAAAGCGCCTTGCTTGAATTAGAGAGAAGAAAAAAGATAAAGAATCAAACTTTTGACGGGTGTCAACCGCACGCTGGGTTTAAAGCTCTAATTAACAAACCTGTTAATTGTAACAAACGTCATCCAGGTTGTTTGGTTGTTTGGTTTAGCCCCCCTGACCGGATCTCTGTATTTGTTTTGAGGACTTTGGACCTTTTTTTGGTTGCGTAATGGAACAACTCTGCGATCTTACGCGTCAAACGACGTTACAGGAGCTCAGAAAAATGGACAGAGACACAGAAGTTCTAGTGAAAACTGTTTCTCAAGCTGTTTCTGCCACACAGACGTGGAGAATCCCTCTTCCATGGTGTTTGGGAGATGTTTGTCTGAACAGCTGTGCGTTAAAATCCAGATGTGAGTCACCGGCATGTAAGAAAGACTGAGAGAGACACGCTGTGAGCTCAGATCAGAGCTTTGTTTTGTTGGAAAAATAGGCTGCTGAGATCATCTGCTTACAGGTTTAATGAAGAGTCTCACAAGGATTTATTTTATTTTAGTTTCTGATATTGTTTGTGAGCAGAGAAAATTCTCGTCTCACCCATCGGTGTCAAAACTTCCACATAAAAGCCAGAATAGATGAAAAATAATTAGAATAATCGTCACAAATATCCATTTTAAATATAAAAAAACCTGGAATCGAGCACAAGTGAAGATGTTTTAAAGTGGCAGAGAAGTGAAACTGGACTGAGGTCTGTAAAGTATAAATAACTTCAGGATGAGTCCTGAAGTTATTTATACTTTACAATAAACAGGAATAATTCTCACTTCCATGAGAAACAGCAGCTCCAAGCCTCTGACTTTAGGTCAGAATCCATCAGGTGGATGTTTATGGTGCCTTTTTGGGGCTTTACAACTGTTAGGGGCTCTGTTTTGGTCATGTGGTTCGGGGGAAGGCCGACATGTGACCCCTCTCCCGGCAGGTGGTGACCGGTGGCCATGAGGCAGAGGGATGATGACCAGGGAGGGGAGGCTTCCTCTGAGGAGCACCAGAGCCGGGCCAAAGCTGAGAGGTGAGCTCGGACAATCAGAACTTAGAGAAAAATGCAGCAATTAAAGGGTGATCTATAAAAGATTGAAGGTTTTTCTGTAAAAATGTCTTCAAAGGAGAGTTTTCCGGTGATGTAACTTTCCTGTAAATCCCACAATAACAGATAAACTCCAACAAAATGCTCCTGTTAGGTTTAAGGTCTCCAGTTAAAGTCCTCCAGGAAAACAGTCAGTCCACAACAAATCTGTCATCCAGAGGGGTGTTGAGACAAAAGAGACACAAAACGGCAAACTGCTGCAAAACAGCAGATTCGAAAAAGAAATGGACAAAAACTCTGGTAAATAGCCATAAAAAAACTAAACGTGGTGCAAAATACCAGAAACAGACACAAAATTACCAAAATGCAGCGCAAAAGATCAGAAAAAAGACAGGAAAATGACTAAATTAGACACCAAACAGCATAAACAAATGCAGCAAAATACAGATAACAGATAAACTCCAACTCCAGTTAAAGTCCTCCAGACCAGTTATTAACATTTTAAGTGAAAATTGTAGGAATTTTAAGAGTTAAACCGATGACATCATGTTATGTCCACAGAAAAAAACGATTGAGACCAAGGCTCTGCTTTAGATCAAAATTTATTTGGTTTAGCTTCGGCTCAGAAGAAACAGAAAAAATGTCATTTAACAGGTTTTTCTTGTACAAATGAACACGTTTCTCATCATTGTGCAGGCCCTGAAAAGGATGGCAGCCTCATATGGACAAAAAGAGCTCAGACTCATTGCTTTTCCGTAGTTTTATTCAGGTTTTTACCTGCTGCCGAGAGAGCTGGGAGATAATTCTGCATCCGGCCCAAACCCAAATGAGTCAGAGAGTCTGGTTTCCAGCTGTTCTCATCCACCCTCTTATTCCTTCTGTTCCAGGATCCAGCTGCAGAGGCCGGGCTCCCCTGTGCCCAGCTGTTTGTCTGTCAGGAGCAGCCAGTCCAAAGAGTCCCCTCTTCAGTTCGGGGGACAGAACCCCTCCTCTGATGATCTGTAAGCCGCAACTCACAGTTTGTGGGCTCTCACTGTGGTTCAGTGAACCAAAAAGAGCCCATGATAGGCGAAATCCGTGAAGGGATTTTTTTGGTATTATTTATATTATTTCTTTATTATTCTTTTATTTATTTTATTTTCTCTATTTTTTAAAATATTTTTTTATATTATTTTAATAATTTTTTCAATTTCTTATCATTTTTTAAATAATTTCTCTTATGTATTTTAAATTATCATACAATTAAATACTCCATAATACATTGAAACCAAAATACAAAACCTTTTTACAGGCCCAAACGTTTGTTTATCAAATAAAACTACTGAATAAACTTCTTTTTGTTTTTTACAAATAACTACTGCACTGTAAAATAATCGTTTTTTGTGGGATTGTGTTTCAGGATCCAGCTGCAGAGGCCGGGCTCCCCTGTGCCCAGCTGTTTGTCTGTCAGGAGCAGCCAGTCCAAAGAGCCCCCTCTTCAGTTTGGGGGACAGAACCCCTCCTCTGATGATCTGTAAGCCGCCACTCACAGATTGTGGGCTCTCACTGTGGTACAGTGAACCCTCGTTTTACGTTTCAAAAAGAACCTATGACAGGCGAAATCCGTGAAGGGATTTTGTTTTTATTATTTTTTAATCATGTTCATTTTTTAAATTATTTTATTTATTTTTAATTATTTTTCAAATTATTTTTTTAGAATAAAATATTATTGTTTAATTCTTTTTTAATTTATTTTAATACATTTATTTAAAAATGTTCTTCTATTTTAAAAAAATCTATTTTAACTTATACAATTAAATACTCCATAATACATTGAACCAAAAAACCAAAACCCAAGTGTTTGTTTAAAAATAAAACTACTGAATAAACTTTTTTTATTTATTTAATTATTTTTTTTTTTAACAAATAACTACTGCACTGTAAAATAATCATTTTTTGTGGAATTGTGTTTCAGGATCCAGCTGCAGAGGCCGGGCTCCCCTGTGCCCAGCTGTTTGTCTGTCAGGAGCAGCCAGTCCAAAGAGTCCCCTCTTCAGTTTGGGGGACAGAACCCCTCCTCTGATGATCTGTAAGCCTCCACTCACAGTTTGTGGGCTCTCACTGTGGTTCAGTGAACCAAAAAGAGCCCATGATAGGCGAAATCCGTGAAGGGATTTTTTTTGTATTATTTATTTTATTTCTTTATTATTCTTTTATTTATTTTATTTTCTCTATTTTTTAAAATATTTTTTTATATTATTTTGATAATTTTTTCAATTTTTTATCATTTTTTAAATAATTTCTCTTATGTATTTTAAATTATCATACAATTAAATACTCCATAATACATTGAAACCAAAATACAAAACGTTTTTACAGGCCCAAACGTTTGTTTATCAAATAAAACTACTGAATAAACTTCTTTTTTTTTTTTTTACAAATAACTACTGTACTGTAAATTAATTTTTTGTGGGATTGTGTTTCAGGATCCAGCTGCAGAGGCCGGGCTCCCGGGTGCCCAGCTGTTTGTCTGTCAGGAGCAGCCAGTCCAAAGAGTCCCCTCTTCAGTTCGGGGGTCAGAGCCCCTCCTCTGATGAACCGTAAGCCGTCTTAGACCACATAAAGATGCCTCACAGCCCCATTTTTTGAGAGAAGCTAGTGACTTTAATCAGCTCCTGGATGAGCTGAGGGGCAGTTCAGGGCTCTCTGAGGGGGTTACTTTAGCCCAGCCTGAGCGGAGTCAGATGTTTACATATGTAATAATGGAGCATCATTTCATTCACATTTCAGATTTGAAGGGGGGTGCCCAGATGTTTCCTATAATCAACTTTCGAAGGAGCGTCAAACAAATTGGGAGCACATATTTATGGTCTGTGTAAATCATTTTCACTTTATTTGTCTCCATTTGACCTCATTCCGGTGATTTGATGGGTTAAAACTACTGGCCTTGTTGTGTTTCAGATCTTGGAGAGGAGATTGGTCTCCTTCTTGGAGAGTTTGAGGGAGCTTCCGCTCTGCCCGGAGCTCAAAGGGCTGGAGGGCCTGGACCCCGAACGGTGCAAGACCCTCCTGAAGGTCCTGCTGTCCCTCCTGAGGAGGATCACGTGGGAGGGGCTCCCAGAAGGCCCGCAGAGACCCGGTGAGACCCCAATTCCCATTCCGATTAATTACTTTGACTGATTTATTTTATGAGAGTGTTAGATGCTTTCAGGGAACGTACAACGTTACTACTGCCACTCACAATTATTTTTTGTGTAATAGAAAGTTAAGTTAATTAAATCCAACAACTTTGAACAAACTGGGGAAGATAGACTTACATGAAAAAGCAAAAAATTGATGGATAAAATGTCCACCAGGTGGTTTTGAAGTAAAGTGTGATACTTAGATACAGCTAAACGGACAGGCTGGAACTGAGGCAGGACTCAGATGCGTAGGTACAGATAGAAAAGGCAAGAAAAGGATCATAAAGGAAGTATCAAAATCATACTCAGGGAGTCGAGAACAAAAACTCAGATGTACAAAATCAAAATTACTCTTACGAGGAGAAAACAGGGTTCAAGGCGAAAAAGTAAAGGATTTACTATGAACTGGTTTAGCTCAGCACGAAGTAAACGCACAAGGCAAAACACGGACTATTTAACACAGGAGGGGAAGGGAACTCCAGGTGAACACAATCGGTGATCAGGAAGACAATTGGACGAATAACAATTGGACAGATGGAAGAGCCAAGAGACCTGAAACCAGAGGAGAGTTACTATCAAAATAAAACAGGAAATGACCAGACCACATGGAGACGGGACCAAAAACCCCAACCAGACCACACCGCTGTGACAAAAACATTCAAATAAAATAGAATAAATAGCAGCATTGCATGGTCACCCATTCTGGACCAGCATATTTGACCCACCTGACCCCCTTTTAGAGAGTAAGTTTTTTTTAAGTCAGAGGGAGAAGGTGATCCTTTCCATAAGGTAAATGTCATTTAAAATACCTATCTACTCCTGTATTGTGGGTGTAGTGTTTTTTTACCAGTGGTTATCAAAATATCAGGTATTCCTCAGCTTTCCTGACCTCCTGACCTCTGTTCCGGCCGGTCCTTGACCGGTCCGCTGGTTTCTTTGCTCAGAAAACAGAGTGGCGGTTTGTCGGCGTGCGCTCAAAAGCCAAATCCAGGAGACGGCCGGGCGCCTGTTCCGGGGCTTTTCCGGAGGGGGGGGGGGAGGAGGAGGCCGGCGCTCCTGACCCCATCCACACGGAGCTCCACCTGGCGGAGGGGGCCGGGGGGGGCGCCGGACACGAGGCCGGTCAGCTGGAAACGGCGCCCGGACCCCAGCCGGCCGTCGCCCTGGACGACCTGTTCAAAGCCCCGCCCGGGAGGGAGGAGCCGGTCCGGACGGTGCTGACCAGCGGAGTGGCCGGCATCGGGAAGACCGTCCTGACCCAGCAGCTGGCCCTGGACTGGGCCCGGGGCCGGGCCCTCCGGGACGTCCACTTCCTGTTTCCCCTGGCCTTCCGGGAGCTGAACCTGCTGCGGGGGGCGGAGCTTAGCCTGGCGGGGCTGCTGCACCGCTTCTTCCCCGCGGCCGGAGAGGCGGGGGTCAGCGGCCTGGCGGGCCTGCGGGTGGTCTTCGTCCTGGACGGCCTGGACGAGAGCCGGCTGGCCCTGGACTTCGCCGGCGCCGAGGCGCTGACCGACGCCGGGCGGCCGGCCCCGGTGGAGCTGCTGCTGACCAGCCTGATCCGGGGCGAGCTGCTGCCCGCCGCCCGCCTCTGGATCACCACGCGGCCGGCGGCGGCCGGTCAGATCCCCGCCGGCTGCGTGGGCCGGCTGACCGAGGTCCGGGGCTTCACGGACGCGCAGAAGGAGGCGTTTTTCCGGGGGAGGTTCCTGGACGCGGGGCGGGCCGGCGCCGTGGTCGCCCACGTCCGGCGCTGCCGCTGCCTCCGGGTCATGTGCCGCATACCGGTCTTCTGCCGGATCTCCGCCGGCGTCCTGGACGAGGTCCTGCGGTCCGGCGGCGGGGGGGGGGCGGGGGGGGCCAGCTGCCCCGGAGCCTGACCGAGATGTACGTCCACTTCCTGCTGGTTCAGACCGGGGCCGGGGGGCCGAGGCGCGGCGGGGGGGGGAGGGGGGGGGGGCAGCTGTGGACTCCGGAGGGCCGGGGGGCGCTGGACGCTCTGGGGGGGCTGGCCTTCCGGCAGCTGCTGAAGGGGAACCTCATCTTCTACGAGTCCGACCTGACCGACAGCGGGATGGACCTGGCGGCGGCGTCCAGGTACTCGGGGGTCTTCACGCAGGTCTTCAAGGAGGAGAGCGAGCTCCGCCGGGGCCGGGTCTTCTCCTTCGTCCACCTGAGCGTCCAGGAGTTTCTGGCGGCCCTGCACGTCCACCTGACTTTTAGCCGCACCGGGGTCAACCTGCTGGAGGAGCCGGCGGTCAGCGGGCGGCCTGGGTTCCTGCAGGCGGTCCAGCAGAGGCTGGCGGGGTCCGGTGGGGGGGACGGAACGGCCGCGGCCTTCTACCGGGCGGCGGTGCGGAGGGCCCAGCGGAGTCCAGGCGGTCAGCTGGACATGCTGCTCCGCTTCCTGCTGGGCCTGTCCCTGCCCAGCAACCAGGCTCTCCTCCAGGGCCTGCTGGTCCCGACCCAGACCCAGACCAGCCGGGACACCGTCCAGTACATCCGGGAGCAGATCGAGCAGAGCCCCGCCCCGGAGAAGAGCCTCAACCTGTTCCACTGCCTGGCCGAGCTGAGGGACGGCTCCCTGCTGGACGAGGTCCAGCGGGCCCTGGCGTCCGGCCCGCTGTCCGACAAGCTGTCCGCCGCCCAGTGGTCGGCCCTGGTCTTCGTCCTGCTGTCGTCCGAGGCCGACCTGGACGTGTTCGACCTCCAGAAGTACTCCGCCTCCGAGGAGGCTCTTCTGAGGCTGCTGCCGGTGGTCAAGGCCTCCCGAAAAGCCGTGTAAGCGAGCTAACAGGTGGTCAGGAATCGCGTCCGAAGCCGGACAGGGACTTAACCTCCTTCCGCTTTCGCCTTTTTTCGTCCAGGCTGAGCTTCTGCAACCTGTCGGAGAGAGGCGTGGACGCCCTGGCCTCGCTCCTCAGCTCCGACTCGTCCGGCCTGAGAGAGCTGGACCTGAGCAACCACAGCCTGCCGGACGCAGGCCTGAGGCGGCTCTCCGCCGCGCTGTCCATTCCAGACTGCAAGCTGGAGACTCTCAGGTCAGAAAAACCGCACCATTAATGAGACCTCAGGCTCATAAAACACACCCCTTCTTCTATTTTAAAGTTAGCATGAACAGATTTTCAAAGAATGACCAAAGGCTTCACAGTAATTTCATCTTATGTCCGTTTCTTATGGCTGTAGAGTAACAAGAATTTCTATTTCTGTAATGAGGAGGAGCTTATTTATTCATATTTATAGCATTATTGTGTCGGGATGAGTGTGTTTAACTGCTAATTGTTTCGATTGTTCTAAAGTTTTTTAAAAGCTCATATTGGGGAATTTTTCTCCTCCTCATTTGTAGTGAAATTAGCAACAATCAATCATTTAAAACTGAATTTACAGGAAACTTTAAGCCCTCCAACAAGCAAGTTAAAGGAATTCTGTGGGATACATAAAAGCTTGAATGCCCACATTCAGAAACAGGGACGTTTTCTGGTGTTAAAGCTGCATTAATATTGTTTTGCATCAGAAATAAAGACGATTGCATCAGATAATCGAGCAAACATCCATTCTCTGATCATCTTTCTGCAGCACTGGATGAGACTTTCCAACCTTTTTTTCTGCAAAAGGCATTTTTAAATGCCTTTAAAATCTAATGCTTCGGTGGGCATTTCGACAGGTTGAGCGGCTGTTCCCTCTCAGACCGGAGCCTCGCTGACCTGGGCCTGCCGTCCGGCCGCCTCAGAGAGCTGGACCTGAGCAGCAACCGGCTGCTGGACGCAGGCGTCCAGCTGCTAACAGCTGGAATGCAGAGGACACCGTCCAGCCTGGACAGTCTCAGGTCAGCCCCGGCCTCGGCTATCCGGTTTCTCTCACTTCAATCCAATTAATCTTCTGTTCTCCTGATAAAGAACCAACACTAATGGTAGGATGGCGGCGTTGCCGTGGTGACGCCTGTCTAAACTGGCTCTAGTTTGCCGTTTCTCGCTTGTTTGGAGCAGATTTTCATCTCAAACTGTCCCCGGTGATTGTTTTTTGGAGTCTTTTATACCCAGAGAAGACTTTAAACATTTTTTTAACCCGTTTCAGGCTGAGCGAGTGCCAGCTCTCCGAGGGGAGCTGTGAGGCCCTGTCCGGCCTCCTGAGCTCCGGGTCCTCCAGTCTGAGCCGGCTGGACCTGAGCAACAACAACCTGCGGGATTCGGGGGTCCGGCGGCTGTCGGTGGGGATAGGAAGTCCTCGCTGTAGGCTGGAGACTCTCAGGTAAGCACGTAAAACCCAAGAACAGTCTCTGGCTTCTTCAGGGTGGGGGCTCACTCACTTCTCTGTTCATAGCTGAGATTCTTAACCTTTTCTGAGGTACCGAAACCCCCAGTTTCAGATGCACATTCACTGAACCTGCTTTAGTTATTAATAAAATCTCCTTTTTTTTCCAAATTCAAGACATAGGTATATGTTTTTTTACTGCTACACAAAATTAGCTGTACATGAACATCAGCTTGCTCAAAGAACAAAACAAATACAGTGCTGAACTCACAACAAATGACGGTATTACTTTATTCTGGCCCCCCCAAAAATATTTTGGCCCAACAAAAGAATTTCAACCCCCCAAATAATTTCTGTTTACTATTTTACTGATTAAAAATACATTTGAATTTTTAAAAAAGAATTTAAAATTTTTTAATAACTTAATTTTTTTATTTAATTATTTTTTTGTCGTTTTTGAATCCACAAAATACTTTTTCCTGTTTCCTCTTATCCAAAATTCACCCAAAAAATAAATCCATATATTTACTTTTAAGCAAATACATAACTTTACACACATTTTCACATATATAATCACATGCACACAAGTATACATATGCAAATATATACACAAACTCTCCATCCACACGTGTATATATATTTACACCCCCCCCCTCCTTTGTAGGGATAAGTGGGTTTAGAAATAAACAAGCAAATATACAAATATATATAAACACAAACTGAAACCGGTGTCTCAAAACTAAAGCAAGAATAAAATCAATCAATAACAAAAATGCAGGAGTTTTATGACCCATTAACTTCATTATCAATCAATGATACTATTTAATCTCCATTTCCAGTATTTCAGAAATGTCCGAAACCTTTTAACCTGATTTTTCCAATCACGCTGCTTCCTGAGGCTCACATGGTCGTGCTGCAGCTTTAGCATGCGCTGACCCTTGTGGGCCACCGTAGCCGCCTCTATTCTGTGGTTAAGCCTCCATCTTTATGCCAAACGTCCTGCCTGTCTGCAGGCTGTCCGGCTGCCTGGTCACTGAGGAGGGCTGCGGCTATCTGGCCTCGGCTCTGACCTCCAACCCCTCCCATCTGAGCCACCTGGACCTGAGCTACAACCCCCTGGGGGAGTCCGGGGAGAAGCTCCTGGCGGCTAAAGTAGATGACCCCGAGTTCAGACTGGCCACGCTCAGGTACAGAGAAGCCCGAAGGCCTGAGGGGGGAAGTGACCTCCAGCCATCCCCCCAGTAACCAGAAACTCTCCTGGTGACTTTCTTTGTAGGGTCAAACCTGGGGGAGTCCAGTGGTCCAGACCAGATCTGAGGAAATGTGAGTGTCTCCACCCCATCCCGTAAAGTTTCCAAGACAAATGAGGGTTCTCAGTAATTTGAAGATGGAGGATTGTTTTAGGATTCGTGAACCAGCCTTCTTTTCTTTCTGAGAGACTCTACCTCTCTTAGGTTCTCTTTTTTAACCCACATATTGGCCGTTAGCTTAACTAGCTGTCAATTAGCTCTTCCAGCCGTTTTGTTTGTTTTATTCCTAGATTTTCATCCTTTTAGTGTCACTTTTTCCAGCAGTTTTTATCTACCAGGTTCAAAAATAGATCTTTTCTTTTTTCCGATTCAGACTTTGGGTTGATTCCTTCAGGGAAATTCCAGTTCCAGCATCACTCAGAGGGCTGATACAAATCGTTAGAATAATTCTTAACCGACCTTCAGCTTATCCAAAAATAGCAGAAAGAATAAAACTCCCGACGGAATAGAGAAGTGAAAGTGACCAATGACGTAAAAATAAATCATGTTGTTGTTGCACTGAGGCCACAGACTGAAATATTGCACAATCATTTCCCTCAACGTTTGACATTTTTCTACTTTCCGTGTTGAATTCGAATGATTCATTTTCACATGACTGTGCATCTCTTCTATCTATTAGCTTAGAAAAGTTAGCTTTAAAAGCATAAACACATTAGCCCTTATAAACTAGTCAACACATATAGATAATTAGGAAATAATGAGCTTAAATATGACAAAAATATTTGGATTTTAACAACAGCCAGTGTTTTTTTGACAGGATAAAGACCATTTAGGGGGATTTTTTCATTGTAAATCCACTGAAAAGTGTATTAGAAAGAAATGTGTCGGTCTAATCTGAAAACTAAAGTTTTTACTCAAAGGTTTATGTGGAAAGAGGAAACTCTGACACCGTTTTTTAATTGTAAGCCACGGACCCTTGTCCACTTCGGGCCGAGGTCAGGCAGCCATTGGTCTCTTCTCTCTGAATCTAAAAGAGTGAAATCGGCTTTAAATCCCCTCTCTTTCCTTTTCGCCGTCAGATTCCTGTGAACTCCGCGTGGACGCCAACACGGTCAACCCTCACGTGAAGCTGTCCGAGGGCGGCCGGAGGCTGGCCTTCTCAGAGGAGGGGCAGGACTACCCCCCCCACGCCGACCGCTTCGAGAAGGACCACCAGCTGCTGTGCGCCGGCCCCCTGACCGGCCGCCGCTACTGGGAGGTGGAGGTGGCCGGAGGGGTCCACGTGTCGGTCAGCTGCGGAGGCCCCGGCCGGAGCGGGGGGGGGGGCAACAACAACGGCTGGTTCGGAGGGAGCGGCCGGTCCTGGAGCCTCTACTCCTGCCCGGGCGGGTTCTCGGCGTGGCACAACAAGAAAGGGGTGTCCATCCCCTGGGCCTCCTCCCCCTCCGGCTCCCCCCGCAGAGTGGGGGTGTACGTGGACCGCGAGGCTGCCCGGGTGTCCTTCTACAGGGTATTGTCCGGCGCCCTGACCCACCTCCACACCTTCAGGACCACCTCAGCCGAGCCCCTCTACGCCGGGTTCGGCCTCTGGACCTGGTCAGACTTACCCCGCGGGTCCTCCGTGACTCTGTGTTCTGTGTAGGTTCAGTTTAGTTTAGTTTTATCAGGATCCCCATTAGCTGCCAAATGAATGGCCACTCGTCTTCCTGGGGTCCTCACATGAAGAAATTCCATTACATTATGAACAAATAATAAAAATGAAAATAAATCACAGCAGGAAATGATAAGAACATAAACAAGAGTAGAAATATACAACATATATACACAGGTCAGTTCATCATATCATCTGCAGTAGTTCTGAAGACAGTATCTTTTTGAAGCTTGTTCTGTTCTGAACTCTTCGTGTGGTTATCGGCAGTTGGTTCCAGTGAAATATGGCTCTATAATGCACTGTGGATTTTAGGTAGTTTGTTCTGGGTCGAGGAAGTTTAATGTCTCCACCTCGTGCCCGCCTTGTTAAATAATTGTGACTTTTTTCAACAAGGACTAAATGTTCAGCAAAAAATGAGGGCTGTTTTTTAAAGAAAACATTCCATATAAATAGGAGAAGTCTTAATTTATGTTTATAGGTAACTGTTAACCATGACAGCCGTCTATGCATTGAAGCCTGGTGGGGGGGGGGACTCAAACCAGTTTCTTTATTCAAACAGCATCTAAAATTATTTACTGCCTAAAAAGACTCCTTTTCAAAGTTAGTTTGGTTGTTTTTACCCCCTGCCTTCTTTTCTTTCTGAGGGACTCTGCCTCTCTTAGGTTCTCTTTTTTAACCCACCTGTTGGCAGTTAGCTTGATTAGCTGTCCATTAGCTCCTCCAGTCGGTTTGTTTGTTTTGTTCCTAGTTTTTCAGCCTTTTAGTGTCACTCTCCTCACTTTTTCCAGAAGTTTTTAGCCTCCAGGTTCAAAATGAGATTGTTTCTTTTTGCCATTTCAAAGTTAGTTTGGTTGTTTTTTCCCCTGTATGAATTCTGTTACAATATTTAAATGGTTTAAGCTTGAAATATGTAATGTAGATTTTATCATTTTGTTGACGTAGCATGGCTTTAAGTATTAACATTATTTATCCAACAACTGTACGTATTCTTTATTAAACGTAAAACCTTTTTCTGGTTTGATCTCTATTTGTGTAGAGGCTTGAAAAAAAACACACCAAAGCGTACCAATTTGCTTAATAAATAAAGTCTTTTTGCACTTTGACTTGTTCCTGACATTAATGAGGATCATTTTTC